ATTAAGCTGCAAAAGTGAAGAAACGTGCAGCACGTCAAAAACGAAACTAAAATCAGCGCGGCGGACGACCACCCCGCACCACCACCAGCTGTGCTGTGCATTAGGTTTAGTTTTTGAGATTAATATGTTTATAGATTTTTTATAGGTTTAGAGATTAATATTTTTTGCTTATAGTTTGTGAAACAAGGTCAGAGGAAGCTGGTTCTGGTTCGGTCGATTGGACCCGGTGTTACACCATATTCTGTGACCTGCAACAGTGCATGCAACACCGCCCCCTACGGTCACAATATACGGTGGTCACAGAATATGGTATAACACCGGTTCGCAACGAGCTCCAAACAGTCAGGAAGTTGATTCATTTTCTGTTTCCTTACTGTAGTTGAACCGGAAGATTCATCTTTAGTGAAATATTTCCATACTACTGATGCATTTCTACCTGTTTGCCAAGACTGAGCCTGCTCCGCTCAGTCCATCTGCTGGGAGGAATCCATTTGATATCTCCTACTAGTAGCCCGGTGCGGATCACGTGACACATGACGCAATGACGTAACTGCGACGTAACGACGTCACTGCAAATACTCGACGTGAAATTTAAAAACTTGATGGATGTCCTAGGAATTGGCCTGTCGTTTACTCGAGTAGTCTGTTAAAGCCCTAGTTGGAACGACTCTCTGGCACATTTTGCAGCAGACTAAAACCTGCAGTTTATCGGATCTTAGATAGCCGAACTCCTTCCACACCACCAAATTAGTCTTTCCTCTCTTATCAATTATGTCATCTGCTTTCTCTTCGCTTGTGAAAGACGGTCATGGTCACTCATTTTGAAGTGAAAACTTGCTGTGTGTTGGAGCTTAGCCTAGCCTGCTACTGCTGACTCCTTCTGGACTCGAGCTCTGTGTGCGGTGTACGTCACCACGCACTTCCGTAGTTGTGTCGCGGCTTTTTCTGTTGAGGTTGAAACACCCGTCGGTTGGAGCGGCCGCTTCTATCCGAACAAAAAAGAAAAGTGTCAGTGAAACGCTGTAATCGTAGCGTAATTTATATCGAAATATCGAAAATGTGCTTAAAACTCATATCACCGTTATTGCATAAAAGTATATCGTGATGTATATCGGTATTGAATTATTGTCCAGCCCTACTTAAGATAATTATTTGTATTTAGGATCTGCAGTGCACACCTCCTTCAGTTGCTTGCACTGTCTTCTGGCATGTTCAGATCTTTAATATACATAATGAAGCGGTTCCAGATACACTCAAACAAGTCCTGTTTGCCCTTTAATGCATATGTAAATAAGGTGCTATTTAATACGACAGATCCTGTTGGCAGGCCTCAGACTGATGGAGTCTTTCAGCTAAAATATGAAACATTTCTTCCAAAAAGAAACTGTCCAGATGACATGATTTAACTTTTTTGTGAAGTCAATTTACAACTAATTTGTCCTGTTATTAATGTTTAACTTCTGTTTTTATTGATTTGTCTTGAATATACTGGATAAATGCTACACTAACTTAAATGCATATACAATTTCATTAGGCAATGGTCTCCATAACCCTGCCTCCATCTCTTGATGAAAATGGCTCTTTGCAGCATTTTCACTTAAATTTTATTAACATTTTCAATAGTACCGTAGATAACATTTCAAAGATAAATCACATACATTTTCTTGATTATGATAGCCTAAGCAGGCTTTACAGTCTTTGCAGCATTTTTTTAGTTTGTGCTACTGTAGCACCTCTGCTGTGGTTCGGGGTTTGGTCCTTTAACAGTGAAACTGGAAAAGCAAATCTGGTGCTGAACAAACCCTGTTTTAAAATTTGTATTTTAACCAGTTTGGTGGAAAACACCCATGTGTTGTTTTTCATCACACAGACCTATCTCTCTGGAGGACTGACCTTCAGTGGATGTTTTTTTGCTTTTCAAAAAACAAATTTTCATTGCAGGCTGGCATTTCACAGGATGGTTTTATTTTATTTTTTTCTAAAAGATTGATGAATAAAATGAACAGCAGTTTCCTGTGGTGGTTTTTGTGTCTGGTGAATAGGAAATGAGCTAGAAAAAGACAATAAATTGTTTGCTTTTATTGATATTTTCCTCTTTCTTGTTTTTCCTCTGTTGTGAAAATAGGGTTTTCAAATACACACATTTAACCAGGGGTTGAAAAACTATTGGATTCTTGGATGCACTCTTTAATGATTCTGCAACAATTCACCAAACTCAATATTTGCAGTACAAACTGTGCCCTAATCAGTGTTTTCCAGCTATGCAAATAACTAACTTCCTTTCTGCCTCAGTGTTAGATTATAAACAGAGTGAATTAAAGCTGTCAGTCTACTGCTGTGACGTTTTCTGTTGGCCATGGACAGAAAACATATTAGTATTTTGTTTAGTTGTTTGTGACCATAGCTCCTCTTTTCTGTTCCTTTTGTTGTTTCATAATATTTATCAGGGCAGTGTGCCACCTGGGGCCTTGATAGGGATTATTGTCTACCTCAGGATATTACATTAATCTGCGAAGAGCCTCCTCCTCAGCCATAGTGATCACGTCTCTTTTTATTTATGTGAAAACACGTGTGATTATCTGTCTTGCTATCATGGCAAACAACAAAAGTAGAAGTTTGATTTTTTTTTTCTTGGCAACTAAACAAAAAAAACAAATGAACAAAAAATAAAATAAATACCAGTAAATAAAGTGAAGGGCATCTTGTTTTTGTAGTGTAGACAAAAGCAACAAAACATACAAAGAAAATAACAAGTACATATATTTTAGTAAGACTTTCTTTTCGGTGCACTGTTTTAAAAATGTTTTGAATAAAATGAAAAAAATAAAAAAAGTATTTAAAATGTTTTGATTCCTTCATAGACAATAATCAAGTTAGCCCTATATTTAGCGAGGGTCTTTTATTTACTTGACTACCATAGGATATTGAGACATTCATGCATTTTTGCACATCACTTCACTTAAAAGGCACAAAACTTGCATTGTGGATCACTTGTCATGTCAGAGTTTTAAACTAAGATCGTTTTATGAGACACGACGGCTAGTTCTGGTCAAACCTTGGAAACTACACTATGTGCCATCTCGTGATATTGCAAGATTTTTCGATGCGTTGGCCCTCATAGTATGTGTAGGGAATAACTCACAGCTACTGTCACAACATATTTGATCCCAATATCTGTAAAAGTACCTGAGTTGAAGACAATTGTAGGCTAAAGTAAGTTAGCTGTGGCAGCAATCCTGAAGTAGGTTGACTCCAAAAGAGTTGTTGTCATTGTTAAATCCAATGAGTAGGGGGCAGAGATGGGGTAGAGGTAGGAGAGCCGACTCGGGACCCGGAAGTCCCAGGTTCGATCTCCAGCCATTCCCATATGTCGTGGTGTCTGAACAAGACACTCAATCCTCAACTGCCCACTGCTCCACCTTGGTGTATCCCAGGTGCGATGGCTCAGTGCAGAGAACCAATTTCACCATTGTATGGGAACATACAATGATTTCAACACATAGCACTTTATTATTATTGTTTATTATGATTTTCTTAGAGTTTCATAAAAATTCATCCTACGGATTATAAAACATTTTGGTAACAATCAAATGGTCAATGCCAACAAATGTCTTGCATAAAGAGTAGCACTTAATGTAGTGGTATGTGTTGGGGATGAGTCCCAGCTACTACCACATCTAATCATGGCTCCATATTTAAAACGGGTGGCATTTTTCTGTTTGCTAAGGTTGCTTAGCTGTGGCAGCCATCTTGAATAGGATTAACTAAGGGCTAACTTCAAGTATATCCAGTGATCACTAGCCAAGAGTTTCATTAAAATCTGTTCAGTGGTTCACATATATTCACAGATATACTGTATTTTGTTAGCACTAATAACAAATGAACACACACACGGGAAGAAACATCACCTTTTGGCCTTTGCTTTCGGGCGATTAATTCCAAACGTGTTAATTGACATACAGTAGCTGCCATGAATCAGATTAGTCTGAGATCTGAGCAAGTATCAAGCGTCATATAAATCTGTCTGCAAAGGAAAAAGTTTAAATACTTGTGTTTCTTTCAGTTTTTTACAGATAAAGCTTTTGGTTTGCTTTGCCATCTGAGCTGGGATTTCTTTTGCAGCAAGAACTTGTACTTTTTGACTTTCCACTGTTACCCTCAGCACAATTTCTTGTATAATTTGTTTGACTCATTTGTTTGCGATGACTCAAAGTTTAAATACCATACGTTACGGACTATAAAGCACACTTTAATTTTCTCAAAAATCGACAGTGAGTCTCATAATCAGTGCACCTTATGTATTAATTCTGATTGTGCTTACTGAACTAGAACCAATTTTATGTGGTTCAACTGAACAATGTTGAGAGTTATTGTGAATTAGTTGAATAAAGTTTGACTTATCTGACTGTTTTGTTTTGCTTAATGTGCCTTATAATCCAGTGCGCCTTATAGTCCGAAAAATACGGTATTACTATTTATTTTTTATCTAGTAGTAAACACTTATTTATAAATCACATTTACTGGTTGAACAGTTTTGAATGTGTTTTCCTAAGCATTAACACTTAAAAATGGTTGAATGTTACTCAGATGAAAGAGCTGTAAAATTTCTATGTTGTTCATTAGAAAATTATCAAAGCATATCCCAAAACTCTTGTTTACCTTGGAAATATTGTCATTTATTTTTTAGTAGGCAAGAGTGTACCTTACTTAGTATACTGATATTGTACCCTTTTCACTGCTGCCTTGATTTGTCTCCAGACAAAGTGCCAATATAGATAGATGCAACTGCCTGCGACTGGAAGTTAATTAACACCTGCACTTTCGAGCTCCTTCCGTGAAAGAGCATCAATATTAGTCATTCGAAATCTCTTACAGCTGCTGTTTGGATATATGTTAATCCATAACACTCGTGTTTCATTGAACTTGTTCTAGCTGTTCACATCCAGAGTAACACTATATGTATTTAACTGGATTTTTACTGTTAAAATGAATTTTGGCAGCTGGCGTCTGGCATCTACAGCTTTGCATGCTCTCTGTGGAGCCATCACACCGACTGCTTCCTTCAGCAAGTCTGCGCCAGAGATGAGGCTGCAGCGCTCAACTCACTGGAGAGGACGCTGCTATCTCTTAAAGGTAGTGACTAAAGCAACAACACAACCCCAGATATGTTCATCTACACATAACACAACTGCATTATCATGCAAAGGACTTTCTGTAATCTTTTGATACAGCGGCAAAAAACTTGACAGCTATATTTGACTAACTACAAGTTGCACACTGTAATTTGATTCACATTATTTAAGCTGTTTACAAAATGTATTTATCAAGACAAGTTGTAAACCTAAATTAATGTTGATGTATGCTGGTACTTTTTGAAACACTGTAGGAGGTGACATTAGTTGACTTAATTTACAGTAAAGGATGGCCCTGCATATTGATTATTGTTTTTTCCTGCCTTTTAGTGCTTCGCAAATTGACAGTCCATGGATTTCAAGAACCTCAGCAAAATATGGAAGTCATGGTGAGTTTCAGTGTATTTCACTGTCTGCTTTATAACCTCTTATTTTTCTAAAGCTGATATTTTCTGTTGGTGTTTTTTGGGTTAAAAATAACTCCAGTCACACCGTGCAAAATATGGATGGCTATGATGATTGAAAGTGCCTTAAGCCTTGTTTTGGTTCAAAGAGTCAACAGTTCTGTTTGAGCTGCTCTCCCACTCCCAACTGTGAAGAAAGTTCCACTTTATTAAACTTTTTTATTTTTTTTAATTTAGTTTTGCTGAAATTGGGTTTAAAATAATCTTCACCAAGGGCTTTGGTTTCCTCAGAGCTGAGAGCTGATGAAATTATTTTTACAACTTTCAACTTCAGCTCCAAATTCTGGCTACTTTGCTGTTTAATGGATACGTTTATTTAATTTAAAAAAATGGCAGTACTCATTTTACAAGAATAATTATTTAAATTGGCCTTGGTAAGCAAATTATGTCAAAGTGAGACATTTAGAAAATACCACTTACCTTTACTTTAATTGAAATATTTAATCTTTTGACCATGTTTTAAATTGTAAATGTAAAAATCTTTAAATGCGGACCTTTAGAAGAATCACTTTTAAGCTTTCAGATTTATGGTACATTTGGTTTTATGGGACAGCTACGGCTGAGTGGTTAGAGCATTCGTCCTCCAATAGGAGAGTTTGGGGTTTGATTCCACCAACAGTCACATGCTGAAGTGTCCCTGGGCAAGACACTGAACTCCTCATTGCCTCCGTTGTGTGCCCCATCGGTGTATGAATGTGATAAAGCACTGATTAGTCTTTGTATAGATCTAGTAGAGGGCTGTATGAATGGGTAAATGAGGGCACAGATTGTGTTGTAAAGCTCTTTGAGTGTCTTGGTAAGATAGAAAGGTGCTATATACAGTCCATTTACCATTTATAAATTACTTGTGTCCTACTAATCAAATGTATGTTTGACATATCATACTGTATATTATAACACATTAAAGAGCAGAACAGATACTACAAAATAGGTTGGGAAATCAAATGAATATATTGACCATTGGCAAATAACGTTTATTGACAGTTGCTTTTTTATGTACAATATTTCCACTTTATTATGTCTGGTTTATTTTCCCTGTCAAGGGTTCTCACTTGTAAATAAATATAAAGTTTTAATTCAAACTCGAGTAAGCCATAATATACCCTGATCAACTCAGGAGGACTCCACGTCATCATCCATTTCCAGCAAAGCTTCTAACTTTCTGTTCAGTGTCAAACCGAGTTATACTTACCTAATTAATACACCTGACAGCGTGCTGTAGGACACTGCTGTCTTCTAAAATTGAAATTCTGCACTCTGGTATTTTTTTTAAAATATTATATTTAAGCAAATAAAATATTACAAAGTAACATTGCCTGCTCTCTGGAGAATATGCACTTTTTCGTGTTTTATTTTCCAAGCCAATAAAACTGCCCACAATATTTAGGCACACAAAATGAAACTGCTTTGTACCACAGAAAGTTTTCTCATTGATCATCTTGGATCTAATTAGCTTGGTGATGTTGACCATGGCTGCTGTCTCATAACACAACACATTGTTGCCCAGACTGTTGCAAGCCATTCAACTCCGACTATCCAAGTAATTATGATTGTTTTTTTTGGTTGTTGTTGTATTACTGTTATCAGGAATTGCTGGGGCAGTTTTGTCTTGTGCCTTGTGCCAATGCACCACAGATGGAAAGGCATTCATACATCAAATGCTCAATCAGTGTTTACTTGTTCCTTTTTTAAAAGGCATTATTCACCGTTACATTGTTTTGTCCAAAACTTTGAAGCCATGGCTAATTAAGATTCCCAACTGATTAGAAATAATTCTTTGTGGTGACACCTTTCCTCTGAGTCCCACTCATTTCCTCTGTGTACTCCTGTAACCCTGCAGGTCATCAGGAAAATATGTTGTTTTAAAAACATTTTTCTTGTAAGTTCTTGTACTATGTCAAATAAGCACGAGATCCTGAACTGTCTCAACAAACATTTTGTTGCTTCTGGTTCTTTATTTGACACAGTTACTAATGGAAGATCAGCCACTTCCCTTAATAACCAAACTTCTACAAATCAAATCCCTCCTACAAGTCAATCCTCAGTTAATCACACCTTCTCTTTTTCTCCATTCTCAGTCAGTGAGGTCAATAAACTGTTAAAAGATCTTGATCCTAAAAAATCTGCAGGTCCAGATGAACTTCCACCTTATTTCTTAAGGCTGGCTGCTCATATCATCACAGTCCCTGTGACCCACATCTTCAATCTCTCCATAAGACAAAACTCCATCCCAGACACTTGGAAAACAGCCTTTGTTCTTCCTTTGCTGAAGGGAGGTGACCCCACCTCACTGAACAACTATCGACCAATCTCTAAACTCTGCATTTTAGCCAAGGTTCTAGAAAAACTGATAAACTCTCAAATCAAAAATTACCTGGACTCATTTAACATCTTACCTCCACATCAATCTGGTTTCAGGAAACAACACAGCACAACCACTGCTTCACTGAAGGTTCTTAATGACGTTGTTGAAGCACTGGATGCTAAAGATTATTGTGCTGCACTTTTCTTAGACCTGTCTAAAGCTTTTGACACTGTGGATCAGAACATCTTGTGTCATAAACTCTCAGAAATCGGTTTCTCAGATCACACCATTGGTTGGTTCTCTAACTATCTTTCAGACCGGAGGCAATGTGTTCAACATAATGGTACTTCCTCCAGTTATTTAACAGTCAACAATGGTGTACCACAAGGCTCAGTCTTAGGACCCACCCTCTTTACAATCTACATACATAATGTAGGTAAAAACATCCCTAATGCATCCATACATTTCTATGCTGATGACACAGTTGTTTATTGTCGAGCTAAAACTGTTGCTAAGGCTTTCCAGCTTCTGAAATCTGCATTTAACTACATCCAGACTGATTTGTTTCACCTCAAACTTGTCCTAAATGCCGAAAAAACCAAAGGGATGCTTTTTTCAAATAGGAAGTTGGTCCCAGCAGTTCTTCCTCCGATTTTATCCTCAAATGGTGTCCCCATTGAGTTTGTTGATTCCTATAAATATTTGGGTATCTTGGTCGACTCACATCTTTCTTTTAAGCTCCATGTGGAAAACTTGGTAAAGAAACTGAAAATTAAACTGGGTTTCTTTTTCAGAAACAGATCCTGTCTAACCCTGAATGCTAGAAAACGCCTTGTATCTGTGACTTTCCTTCCCTCAATTGATTTTGGTGATATTATTTACATGAACGCTCCTACAAGAACCCTGCAGATGTTGGATGCTGTCTATCATGGTGCACTAAGATTCATAACTGGCTGTGATTATCGTACCCACCACTGCACCCTGTATTCACTGGTTAACTGGACATCATTAACTTCACGCAGACTCTCCCACTGGTACATTTTCATCTTTAAATCACTTCTTGGTCTGCTGCCTTCATACATCTCCTCCTACATGTCTCTGCGTGAGTGCAGCTACGGAGTGCGCTCTCAGGACATTATTACCTGCAGTGTTCCCTCAGTGAGGACTGAACTAGGCAAAAGGGCCTTCTCCTACTCCGCTCCTGTTTCCTGGAATATCTTACAAAAAGATTTGAAGCTCTCGACCTTGACCTCTCTAAGTGGCTTTAAGAATCTGTTGGACTCCTGGCAGGGTCCAATGCTGACATGTTCCTGTTTTTAGTTTTATACATTTGTCTTGGAATCTAGCTGTTTTTTTGGTTTTGTTACCTTTTTCCTTTTAGCCATCCTATTTGTTAAAAAACAAACAAACAAAAAAAAAACTGTAGTATGAGTTTTTATAACTGCTAATTGTTGTTGCTGTTGTCCATTGTTGTCATCTTTCTTTGTTGAAATCAGGTCTCTCTTGTAAATGAGTCCTCGAGGCTCAATGGGATTTACCTGTATAAATAAAGGTTGATTGAAGTTGTGACTTTGAAAAATATTGTGTGCTGTGACAATAATGGCAATAAACTGTATATACAATTAAACACTCAGTACTGTTGGTTGCCTATCATCTGTCCTGACATGTTCTGCTGGTAATAATGAGCCACATTTTACCATTTTTGGTTGCTTTTGTGTCAGTGAAGTTTAGTTATAATATTTTTTTTCAGGTTGTAACAGTCATATATTACAACAAAATGTAATTTTCATAGTAGAATAAAAACTAGTCTTTTGTTTCTGTGATAGTCTTTGATTTACAGTGTACTCAGTAGGTATTTCCTGTTACACAGACACAACTTCTCATGTATATTATTGATTTCAGTGTGCAGTGTTTGAACTTCAAGTCTTTGAAACGGCAAGTGGTGCAGCCATCTGTCTGTCTTTGGCATTGCTTTTTGAACTCTGTGTGTTGTGTCAGGGCCCTAGGCTGATGGTTTATGACATTCCTTGTTGGGTCTCCAGAGTAGAATTGTTTTACAAGATGTCTTTTCACACATGATATGATCATTTGAGACAATTGAGGTCTATTTTCCAATCATCACAGCAGCAGCATTGTTTGAGATTTGCATCAGAACAGAAAATACTGACTAGGCTTAATAAAGTTAGCCAGTTTTTACACAAGCTGCCAGAAACATGAAACATTAAATACTTGTTCTGCATACTGATCTTTTCTTTATTTTATTATATCTAACAAGCTCAACGGGAATGTGTCTAGACTTGACATAGATTATGTTAATTAAAATACAAATCTTTTTTGAAATCATTTATGATTCACGTGTTTGGATAACAAACTCTTATTTTAGTATAAGGAATTCCACAGTCAAATATTTACATACTTGCTAATATTAACATCCATCCATTCCTTGTGCTTGCTTTAGCTTTCTTCCCACTTCTTCTTTCCTGGTCTGGGGGTCACTGGTGTCCATGTCCAGCAGTCACTGTGCGAGAGGCGGGGGACACCCTGGACAGGTTGCAAGTCCGTCACAGGGCCGCATAGAGACAGAGACAAACAACTATTCACACACTCACACACCTAGGAACAATTTAATTACCAGTTAACCTAACATGCATGTTTTTGGACTGTGGGAGGAACATGCAAACTTGATACAGACAGATCCCAGGTCGGGATACAGTCCTGCAACCTCGCTGAGAAGAGACCACTCTACTAACTGCACTCCCATTCCACCACTACTATTAATTTCATTTCAAACATACTTTATTAATCCCAAAGAGAAATGAAGTGACGTAGCTCATCATCCTGGTTTCATTCAAGAGTTGTTATAAATGTCGATAGCTGTGGGCAGGAAGGATGTCCTGCAGCGAATCGGAAGAATCTGGCCACAGATACCGATCCGTCCACCCAGACCCAGCTGCCAGCTTAGTCCTCCTGGGCAGCAGGACTGCCCGAATGCCGGGCAGGATTCCTCCCTGAACGACGGTCACTCCTCCCACCAGTCTGCCGAGCTCCTCATTGCCACAGCCATAAGATTTGATTCCAAACACATTGTCTCCTTTAATTTGTCTTAAATTAGTATTATTGTATCTATTATCCTAACTGTGTCTGTCCTTTGTTTTTTTAAAATTCTGTATCTGTTTCTAATTTGACCAGTAGATGAGTCATTTCTAAATTTGCTGTATGAAGACCTTACATTCTGCTTTTAGTCAAAAACGAAAAACTTTTACTTTGCATAGATTAAAACATATCACATTATGCTTCTTCTTATTACCCTTTGGCATTGCCATGGGCCTCATCTCTTTAACTTTTAATTGTCCAAACTTTGTCATAACTTATTCAGTGGAGTTCTTTTTTGATGTCGATCACTTTCCATCATCTTCTTTTCAGTATCCCACTTGTGTCTTAACAAACGTCCGTTGTAAACTGTGTTCTCCATCAACTGCCACCCACTCATTTATTCCTCACTCGTGACCCTTCCCCTCAGCAGTAACGCTGTTAGGAACTTTAGTTGCTGGCTGAAATGCGTTTTCGGGACGTGTGATTAATGACACAGCTATTGACCTCATGGCAGAACATTAATGCCGAATTAAACAGATAGCACCTCCATCTATCATCTAATTTCTCATGCTAAGAAGCCTCTACTACAGCAAGCTACAGAAAATTGATTCTCTTTCATACTGTTCAGCTAGGCACTTTTATTTATACTCATACGTACAAAGACAAGTGTGCACTGCCCACACACACACATATGTACAGTTTGTCTGCTAGTATATCTTCTCAGCTGAAGCAGTCATGAGTGATTCAGCTGCTGAAATGTTAAAAAGATTAAATTTATCTCACCCTCTGCTCATTTCTTCCCTTTCAGGGTTTCCTGAACGCTGTGTTTGAAAGGCTAAAACAGTTCTTGGAATGCTGTGAGTACTTGTCTGTTTTTCAGTCTGACATCTTTGATTCTTGACTCTCCCTCCTGTAAACAAACACACTTATCAGTGTTTCGTCTAGTGGATACAGACGGCATGTCTAAGATACTTTGCCACTCAGAGTCTGTGCGTTATAATAGCTCTGCATAATGAAGGTGTCAAATTAAAAGTTGAAATGGAGTTATCCTTTTGGGGCTGATTTTGTTCCACTTGAAGGTAACAAGTCATTTAAATTCACTCTAAATTATCTGCTGTCATTTTAAAGGTATGGGACATAATCAAAGAATGAAAGTTTTTGAAATTGCTTGATCTTGTGAGAGTAAAGACCCTTGCCCTACTTTAGCTTATCTTAAGCTACAATACTGTGTTATTTTGCTTATATAAAATTCTATTATTTGGCTGCACTGAACATTTTACATCAAAACTTGCAAATTTTAACATATTTTTTAATTAGGTTATATCCATTAAATTAAAATGCTGACTCGTTTTCAATTTCATGTAGAAGTGTGCTTAGCTTTAGGCTCCAACATACTTGAGTGGGGTTATGATGGCAAAACTATAACTGTCTCCCAGAGGACCAAAATGTCAGCTACAACAATATGAAGGGCTGACATAATACTGCCTTGTCTCCCGTGCAGGACCACAGCTTCTGATAAGCACTGCTTTGAGATAATTAGGCTACATTACGGTATAATGAAGCGGAAAAATTAATCGTATGTCTTTTTCTCTTGAGATTTTTTTTTTTTTTCCACTTTCAGAGCATCCAAGTGATCATTGTGGTTATTTAAAGGTTAATTAAAGGGGGCTCAAACCTAGTAATTACACTTGAAAAAGATGGCTATGCAAATGTGGTAAACTTAAAATCACAACTCATATTTTTTCATACATACTCATCAGTTTTTTTCAACTGCTTTAAATGAGATCAAATTTAAAGTATATCCTATTCATTCAACCTTTATTTATACAGGTTAATCCCATTGAGCCTCGTGGACTCATTTACAAGAGAGACCTGATCTTGTTGATGTTTGTTTCATAAAATTAGCAATTCTCAAATGGCAATACATTTTTTACTTTTGCATTTTTAAAGTCACCATTTCAGTAAGAATCAATTTCATCAATCCATTATCTTTACCCGCCTCTTCCTTTTAGGGTCGTGGGGGGTCACCGGTTCCCATGTTCATTTTCATTTGCAGTTTTAGTTTTTTTCCCCTAAATTACAAAAATCAAAATAGTTTAGAAGTTAAAGTGCTATTTTTTTTTCAAGGAAATCAGCATAATTCAGATTTGCATCATTACCAGCACTTAAAATTTGGTACTTTTATGTTCATGCCCATTTTACAAAACAAACAAATAAAGGGTTTATGATTTATGCAGTTCATACGAACAAAATGTACAGTGGTGCTTGAAAGTTTGTGAAGCCTTTAGATTTTTCTGTATTTCTACATACATATGACTTAAAACATCATCAGATTTTCACACATGTCCTAAAAGTAGATAAAGAGAAACCAGTTAAACAGATGACTCTAAAATATTATACTTGGTCATTTATTCATTGAGGAAAATAATCCAATATTACGGTACATATTTGTGAGTGGCAAAAGTATGTACAAGAGTACAAGAGACACATTAGTGTGGGTGGATAGAAAAAAACATTCAGTGCTTTTGTTAGTTTCTGACACGAAAGGAAAAATCAGATAAAACAAATGGATTGATACCCGTTCAGGGACTGCAGTCGCTGGTATGGGATCAGGGTGCTCCACTGTTGGCCTGTTCACTCCAATGAAGTGTTTCGAACAGATGTAAATATTCTTGTTTACATTTGTCCGGTCGATACCTACTCGACCACTGTCGAGTCCAACGATTACATTTCTTTCCCTGAGTAATCGGCTTTGGAAACTGCAAGAAGCATATACCTTGCATATAAGGATTGTCAGCATATCGGCTGTCACTATTGCAAGTCCCGCAGCAGCAAGGCTTCTTAGATACCGTTTTTCTGCAGTTTTTTAATTGACTCAAATCATGACTACAGCAATGTATTGTAATGTTCTCAAAGTTCCTTTTGCCTGACATCCGGGTACTTGCTGATGTCACATATTGTGTAGGGAGTTATTTTTAGTTACCCTGGCCAGCGCAATTTATTTTAGTTTATAGCTCTTCAATTGAAGCCAGAGGAAGTATTCTGTTTAATGACATGCTTTCTATCTTGTTTTAATTATCTCGTAAAGTGAGTATAGCAGTGTTTTTCAAACTTTTTTGGACCAAGGTACATGTTTTCATTGAAAAAAAAATCACAAGGCACACTAATAACCAAAAACGTAAAAAAAAATTGAAACTCTAGCCTATATTAACAATATAAACTCATTATTTTCAAATTGTCTTGAATAGGTATCAAATAAACAAAGAAACAAGTATTTTATGATCTTTCATATTTTTACCTACTCTGTGTGAAACCTGGGCCTGTGGATGAACACAGAGCTGAAATCCTGGAGGATATTTAGGAGCTACAAGTTCAGCAACATGGTAGCTACATTTAAGGGCTACTTAAGCTTACTTGGTACCATAGCACTGTTGGCTAGCTTTTCACCACACAACAAGCACAATGGTGTCGTTGCATCCCCGGTGAAAGTAAATCCAAATGAACTACAGCTTTTGCTATATTGCCTCGCGCAAGAGACTTTGCTCGAGGTCACCGTTTTTGCTTTCTTTTGACCTCCATTCTTACTAGGGCTTTCGTCTGGGTCCAAATTTTATCCAGGATCCATCCAATTCGGCGTTTGCATTTTTTATTTTCAAAATCTTCTCCCATCACTTATGACTCCATCCCAAGTACAAGGCAGTTAGCTACCTGCTGCCACCTACTGATATGGACGAGTATTACATGATTACTCTGCCAGTCACTAGACAGCACAGACACTGAACTATGGCATATTATTTGCCGATAATAATTAATTAGTTTTCAAAAGTGTTTTTTTAGACCAATTAGGTGAAATTGAATAATTTCCCATGGCACATTTGATGATCTCTCACCACACACTAATGTGCTGCGGCACAGTGGTAGAAAAACACTGATTTAAAGAGCATCAGGGGATCCTTTTTTTTTTACTAGACAAGTTTTGTCATAACACTTGGTGAGCTCAAGCTTAAAAAAAAAAGAAAAAAGAAAACAGATTTCAAGATATGAGCCACAACTCTCATTTCCAATATTCACTTTGCTGAAGGCTGTGGAGACAAGTCCAGGCCCTGTTGGTATTTGGGCCTGGCAGATAGAGGAAACGAAAAGGAAGCTCATAGCTGGCCGGGCAAGAAATATCAGCTTCACTCTGTCTGATAAGGTCAGCAAAATAAACGGATGATTTTAGACAGTCTGTGGGATTCATTCAGGTGTCTGGCTTTTTCAGTTTGACGTTTGTCCTCCAACTTAGGTCTTTCATTTGTTTTTATCTTTCACTATACTGTTAAAAAAAAGTATTTTATGAAGTTATACATCTGTCAAAATAATGTCTTTTGCATAACATTTCTTCTCATGACTGACTGTCTCACACTAGCAAACAAGTACATGGACACAATGTCAAAAAAGTCTGTATCATTTATGTAATACCGGTATTTATTTACATAGAGCTTGATTTGTTCAAAAACGTGAAATAAAAAACTAATTACTTAATAGGCAAGATAACCCCATAGTCATTTTATTTTAGTATCCAATAAAAATTTAAGTGCATATAAAGATAAAGATGCCAATAAACCTGCACATTTTTAAGACGATTTGAGGATCCCCAGAGGCTATTATTGTCGCTGCTGATTTGATCTGTACAATTAAATAGAAAGTAAAATATAAAACCCAACAATTTTCAGTCAGGTCATCTGGACAGGTTTTTTTTTTTTTCTTTTTGTGCTGAAATGTTTCACCTTACATCCAGAAGGCTTCATCAGTGAAGGAAACACACAACACAAAACTGATTCTTCCCCCAACAGCTTACTCCAAAGTGGAACAAACCAGTTATGTTGGTGCTAAGATGGTCTCTTTGGCACGCCCCTCACACAATGTGCATAGTATGCATGGGCTCCAAACTCGTGCACACATCAAAGGCAAATCCACAGCATGTCCACACTGCTCTTCTGTGCTGAAAAAAATCCCAGAAAGGAGAGTGAGTGGAACAGACCGAACCTGTGCTTGTCCATAACCGTGATAACAAATGACAGCCATCAGCTGTGATCCACCACGAGCTGGGCGGACATGATGGAAGAGGGGTTCCCGGTCATGCCGCCACTTTGCAAAGGGCAACGGGGAATTTGAAACACCAAACAAATTTAGAAAAAGAACGTTAGGCTACTTAACATAATCCTGGTTCTTTGCCAACAGAGTGAGGATGTTTCACCAACACTTCCCTCCTTGCATAGACATTGAAAGAAACTGTCCTAGAATGAGTAGGAGGTGGTCAGTTGACTGTGGTACCATAATGGGGGTGGAGCCCTGAGCACTGGGCTGTATCAGACAGACGTAATGTCGTTCTAGCTTCTGTAGTTAGTCACGCTAGAGCATTTTCCATAGTGAAACACCACGCTGTTATCAAAGAACCAGAGTTATTCTAGGTAACATAACTTTTTTTTTTTTTTTTTTTTAAACATCTGTTCAGGATTTTTGAGACAGCTTCATAAAAAAAATAAAACTGGCAGAATTTTTTTCTCTGCTTTGAGTGTGTTTTGAAGAGTCCAGATAGCTTTTCCCAGTGGTTTCCCCCAAGGTCCCAAAATGCTTGAAAAATTTTGTGTATCCTGACATAAATTTTAAAAACTTGGCACTGAGGCTAAGGAAAAGAGTGATTGTCTTGCCACTAAAAGGTTGGTAGTTAGATCACGGCTTTCCACCACAATGTTTTTTGGTAAGACGGGACTGAATCTCAAGTTGCCCCCTGATGTACACATCGATTTGCGTAAACAAATGAATATGACTTGTAGTGTAAAAGTTCTGATAGGTCGAAGTGCTACATAAATGCAGTTCATTTACATTATAATGCTGGTTTTTGTGCTAAGTGTGTCGCTTCCGTATCAAATGAATATTTTTCTTATTTAAGGTCACCAAGTTGGTCCTGATAGTACATGCAGGGAAAAGCTGGAAAAGACCATCATACTGTACACTAAAGTTGTGAGTTTAATAACATTATTAAAATAAACAATCTATATTTTGTACAAAGACATTTCTGACTAATTATTGTGCCTACCTCTAGTATTATCTCTCCATCTTTCGCCATGTTTGATTGCTTCTGTACTTTGCTTTTCTCTCCTTCTTCAAGTTGGTGGATTTTCTGGAGTACCATCCATATGCATTCATCCCCCTAATTCAGCGCTCCTTGGAGTTTGCGGTTAGCTACATTTTCACACCTGTCGGAGAGGGTGTGATCTTTGAACGCTTCATTGTCCAGTGCATGAATCTCATCAAGTTGATTGTAAAGAATGAGGCATACAAACCTGCCAAGAACATTGATGGTAAGATATAATCGCTTTGGAAGGGAATAAAGCTCATTTTCAGAAATGTAGATTTAACAAATTGTAGAAGAATGGTAAAACATAGACAATCAATTCTGATTGAATTTGGCTGTGCTTTAGAAAGCCATCACAACATGTTGCAATCTCCTCAAAGCTGATCACTGACATTGTTTTGAAATACCATCAGTTTTTCCCCTTCATCACTGCAGCTTATGTTTATTTCAAGCTGGTGAATGGACCTCCGGCAATTTAATTGTCAGTGGGACATGGCTTGTTCTTTCAGTTAGTATGACTTTTGAGAGGTCCAATTGGAGATCTCCTTACTACGCATTTACTTTAACAAGCTTGTGTGTTGTTATGTTTAGTTTTCTAAAGGCTGGCTTTAGGTTTGCTTTTTCATAAACAGCTTGGTTCTTGAATAGTAAGAACATTTAAATGAAGGGACTGTTAAATATATCCTCTGTGACATTTTAACAAAAAATGTCAGCAAATTATACATACTTTATCCACAATAAAAAATATTAAGATAACAAGATTTCAAGACCATTTTCCTCATTCTTGTCCAAAATGGAATGAGATTAATTAATTTTTGCATAGCAATTAGCATTATATTTTGTAGTCATGTATGCTGTCGATTGCTGTCAGTTCCAACACCAATTATAAGATACTGGAAAGTACAGAAAAGGTAATACTATAAACTATATTTGCTTTGCCTTACCTTGCATATGTAATCTCAGTCTAGTGTCTATATTCTAATTTTAAGAACATGATTATTTGTTAATAATTTAATCTTTTGTTTCACTGTCTCCTCTATTGTTAGACAGTAAACCAGAGAGTCTAGAAGCTCACAAGATCAAGACGGCCTTCTTCACTCACCCCACACTTACAGAGATTGGACGGCGACTTGTTTCACACTACTTCCATCTCACAGAGGAAGAGTTGACGATGTGGGAGGAGGACCCTGAGAGCTTTGGTAATTACACAGCCCATAAAACACAAGCTGAGTTCAAATATCTAATAGCTGTGAACTTTTAAATGAAGTTGAGAGTTTACAACCATGTCCAGAACTGTAAGGGTGTATGTTTGGCAGTTAATGAAGTCAGCAACAAAGCTTCCAGTGCAAACTTACTTTAAAAAGTGCATACAATTTTTTTTTTTCAAACTGTGACTAATATTTGATAAAGTGTAGAATATATTAAATGTGTTAATGTGCTGGTGTTCAAAGCATTGCTGCTGCTAAATATTTAATAAGAAGGCACCGAAGGAGCTTCTTAAGGTCTGACACTGGTGCACAGAACTCCCCGACTTATTATCATGGCTTCGATGACTCAAAATCTACACCAGTATAGTGCAGTTCAATACTACATTATGTATATCAAACATTTGAACCTGTGGTCTTTCTTTTATTCAAAGTTACATTAGCCTGTATTTTATAGTGCTTACTGGTATTTCATTTGTCTTAGGACAAAGGTGCTAAGAAGTAACTTGATAAAGAAAATAAATTTGGTTATAGCTATTTAGTTATAGTTTTTCTTTCAGAGAGAACAATGTAAAGCCAAATATTTTTTGTATGGATAGGGATCAGTCAGCATGTTGTGTGTTTTATTTTCTTGTTCAGCTACATTTTATCTTTTCTTTAGCTGTTGAAGAAAGTGGTGGCGATTCTTGGAAGTACAGTCTACGGGTAAGTTAAAATAAATACTTATGTAAACGAAATACATTTATTTATGAAAGCCTAATAAAGAATAGTAGCAAGTGCAAATGAAGGTAACTGGAAATTTCAAATTCTTGAAATGGTTTGCTTTATTTCAGAGGAGCTGCTTCAGATCAAAATAGAGTCCAGAGTTCTGAGCTTTTAAAATGTGTTGAGCAATTCATTTTGTGATTTTGTGAACAAAAACAAGTCACTCTGCCTCCCATCCCATCTGGGGGTTGTTATGGTTTACTTGATTGGTTTGGCTACATTTAGTCTTGAGTTCCAGTAATTCACTGTTTGACATATCTTACAGAAAACTGGTTCTTCTGTTTTTCAAAAATTGTTTGGATTCTCTGCTCAAAAATTTGCTTCTAGTCTTAAATGTAATTTTTCAAAACCTGTGGTAGACTTTGACCATGGTTTTGGTTGTCAGTGACATGTTTGGGAGACCCGAGCTCGTCCCCCATACATTGCGTCCTACAAATAGAGTTCGACAGTGGCTATCATGCAATCTCACATTTAGATTATTAGGGACAATATAACAACAATACAATGTTGTTTGGTTGCATTTGCATGTTAACAAATTTCCCACTATTCTATGCTTTACAGTGTTCCAATTTATTTATCCAAATTTGTAATTTCTATAGAGTTCAACATGAAAAATGGTAGCATGTGAAGCTTGGCAGGAACTGCTTATGGTGCCTGGAGCTTTATAGCTTATCTATGTGACTGAGTGTTGTTAGTTGGCAGGAGCTGATAATTAGTTGTTGCTAATGGTATAATCCTGTACCGTTGGTATATAAATAGTTTTAGCCTCCTTGTAGTTTCTCTCTTTTTTCTCTCTCTCTTCTGTGTTGTGTCCTTGCTCAATCACTTTAGATGACAAATGTTTGCCTTGAAGTAAAGGATTCTTTCATTTAGAGCTTGATATTTACTTTAATCAAGATGCTGGAGACAGAAAGTTTGATCATATATCTTATATCTTCAAAGTATGTTTCTCTTTATATATCTATATACATTTTTTTTTTCATTTACCTTTATTTATACAGGTAGTCTCATTGAGCCACGAGAACTCATTTTCAAGAGAGACCTGTTTAGGGAGCAGATGGGGGTAAAGAGCCTTGCTCATGGGCCCAGATTGGGGCGAATGAGGGTGGGGGCAAGTGTGGGTGCTTCACCTACCCCACCCACATTTTTGATGTCGTCGGTACCAGGGCTTGAACCGTTGACGTTCCAATCTCAGGCCCACCTTCTCTAACCTCTGCGCCACCACTCCTCCATATATACAGTAAATAATAGATAGATAGATAGATAGATAGATAGATAGATAGATAGATAGATAGATAGATAGATAGATAGATAGATAGATAGA